GACAGAGAGAGAGAGAGAGAGAGAGAGAGAGAGAGAGAGAGAGAGATGAGTACAACGGTCAATAAAGGACCGTTGTCTGGGATGGGTCACACACACACTGTGGAAGATCAGATTAGTTTTGTCATTATGACATGGACATGTAGGTAAGTTCGAGCTCTTTTTCTTCTCAGTTAAGATTTTTTTCAAATTTCGGAGGTTCTGTAATCCTGTTGTGTACGTTAAAGATCCCTTGATGGTTAAAAATCGTAGAAGAGAGACAGATGGGAGGAGGAGGGAGGAGGAGGGAGGAGTAGAGGGAGAGACAGATGGGGAGGAGGAGGGAGGAGTACGGAGGGAGAGACAGATGGGAGGAGGAGGGAGGAGCACAGTGGGAGAGACAGATGGGAGTAGGGAGGAGAAGAACCCACCTAGTTCGTTCTTGTTGCGGAAGTCTGCCAGCTGTTCGCTGATCTCGTTCTGCGTGGACTGCCGCGCCGACTGGAACATGGTGCGCAGGATGCTCTCGCTGTCGGTGCGGTTGGCACTGGTCATTAGAATGCTGTCAATTTGGCTGATCACATTGTCTTCCACGCCCACGCTGAGAGGCTGAGAAAATACAACAAGTCACTGTCATTGCAAACCTTCTACATCCATCCACTGAGGACAACAAGGGGGAGGGAAATCGTCAAACTTCCAACACGACTAAACTGCCAAGTTCACAGCACTGCCAACTTTTCAAGACTCCCCCCCCAAAAAAAACCCAGACTCTGAAACTGTACTCACACAAAGTCATTGTTACCTCACATGTAAAATGTGGGTCATCTTCTGAGGAAGCCTACGTGACGAAATGTTGAGCCGATTTAACGAACCATATCTTAAATATACGTCTCTTTTATTCAAACGTTTTGTCTGTAAATCAATGAAGATTCTTTCTATCTATTCCGCTTTTTGGTGGTGGTGGTGGTGGTGGTGGTGGTGATGATGATGATGATGAAGACTAGCATCAATTTCTTTATAATTAGCCCCTTGGCCTGGCTTGCTCTGAGCCACTTCCGTCCAGCCTGTAACCACACGTAATCTTAAGACCCTCCTTTGCTTGGCCCATTTCCCAGCTAGTATACAGCGCTCATTTAGTTTTTCTCTCAGTTGCTCCTGAGGAAGCCCAGCAAGCGAAACGCTGCGCTGTGTCTATTAAACAAATTTAAAACATTTTAATGTTATTTTGTCTGACATTCAAAAAAGACTTTCCCTCCTACTCTGCTCCAGTGGCTAAGTGAGTAGTGAGTTTTGTCTCAAGCAATGTCAAGCAAGTGTCGGTGACACGGGGATCAGATGGGTGGTCACTGGAGTGTGTCCTTGAGCAAAACACGACAACCCTAGCACAAATTACAGGGCGCTGCACAGTGGCGACCGACAGTGGCATTGTTTGTAAACTGTTCTGTTGTGTAATAGTGTGTATTTATGTACGTATTTATGCATGTATGTATTTATGTATGTACGTATTTATAATTATGTTTGCCATTGTAAAACAAAGTGCCCTTCTGGGACAAATAAAAGTGTAATTTATTATTATTATTATTATTTCCAAACAATGATGATGATGATGATGATGATGATGATGATGATGATGATGATGATGATGATAAGACACACACCATCCCATCCGTACATGGCTGGCTCTAGAAAAACTTACAGCGGTCTTGGCTCTAGAAATACTTACAGCGGTCTGAGCGATGAAAGTGGAATATATCTCATAAGCCCACTTCCGGAGTTCCTTAGCGCTGCCGCTGTTCCGACTGAAGGCGTCCGAGATAATGTGGAATAGCTGCCGACACCAAAGAAGCGAGTTAATCAAGGATATTACTGCTTTTTTTTTATTTTTTAAAATTTTTAGTAAGTATTTTACAGCACTCGCAACACAACCAGGTCACTATAAGAGCTGAAGATGAGAGGTGTTATACTAGAGGGTAACAAGAAAAGAAAGAGGAGAGATCAGGACAATAGATGTTTACTAGGACAGGCTCCTACACACACCTACAGACTTACAAAGCCTGCTCTACTCTGGCGCTGACCAGATGACAAGGAAAATGTGGTTGCTTGAGGGAGGCATTGCGCTGCCAAGAGCGAAATGCTCGCAGCTAAAGGGATTTGAAAACAACAGCAACTAGGACAGAAGGAACAAGTGTAAATTCACCCCAACTAATCTACTTCCATTCCCAACCAACAGGGTGTATACAAAAGTAAAACACATCACAGGGCAAATCTTAAAGTTTTAGAAAAAAACAAAAAACAAATAATTTTAACCTGAAAGAGTGGTGAGTGTATATATGGGCTGTACTGACCACAGGGGAGGGGGTCACAGCTGGAGAGTGTTTTTGATTGTTTTAGTAGCGTTTTTACGGCGCTCGCAACTGCATAAGGTCATATGAGCGCCAAGGGGTGGGTGTCAACAGAGAAGTCTGTACAGGGAATCAGGGTTACTCTGCTCACCTCTCTAGCTTCAACAGCACAAGGTCTGCTTCGACTATCAAGGCACCCCGGAAATAGCAGGTCACAAGAGAGAGACAGACATACAAAAAAAGTAGAGGAAAATGACAATAGTAAGGATCAGGAAAGAAAAAGCAGCAGTTCCCTGTATGCAGTTCAGGCACAGTTATGAGCATGACATTGATGAATCAGCCCATTTACAATTCTACTGTGCATAAGAACATGTTAATGTCCCCCCCTTTGGGAATGGCCTAAAGACACTTCAGTCAGTAGCACCGCCCCGGGGGGTTTTGGAGAGTGTATATATATATATAGAGTATATACGGGCAGTACTAAAGACACTTCAGTCAGTAGCACCGCCCCGGGGGGTTTTGGAGAGTGTATATATATATAGAGTATATACGGGCAGTACTTACCACAGGGGAGGGGTCACTGTTGGAGATGAGGTAATTCAACAAGATGGCCATGTGGGCGGGCTTGGACTCCAGGAGGCTGATGTCTGCGAAGGGGCCGGGGTCGTTGACCTGGGGAGGGACGGCGAGAGAGTCAGTGGGTGGCTGTGGTGAGGGCGTACAGTAAACTATAACAGCATTTGGACAAAATGTTCAACACACCACGACTAAAAATGTTCAACACACCACGACTAGTTTTTGAGTAAAGAGTAGCATGGAATCACACATGGTCATGATGGGGGGGGGGGGGGGGGGGGGCGCGGCAGGACAGAGTAGTGACCATCATTTGAAATGAAAAGTTACAAACAAATAAACACTATAAAACAGCTACGATAAAAATCCAAACAAACAAAAGCGGGGGGGGAGAGAGAACTGGAGAAGTGACCAACATTTGGAAAGTAGATACACAAACAAACTACAAAAAAAACCCAGCCATCTTAAATAAAAGCAAAAAAATCACACATCAAGACAGGGAAGAATGTAATTACGTAATAACTGGCTTGTCAAGTTTGTGAAATCCAAATCAAGGAGACCAAACGTTCTAACATTAGATAGCCCAGTGTAACAACCAACAACTTTACATTACATCAGCTGGGACTGGCTTTTGTGTGGTGTGTATCATACGGCTCTAGAATTCCCAATTGCTAAATCCAGAACATCATCATCATCATCAAGTGTCAGTTCTGGGGCAGACATCGGCGATCATGGCTGTCTCTGATCTTTACCTGTTACCCGTCTTTTTAAGTTCTCTAAGTAGGTTGCTCTGGGTCTACCCCTGCCTCCTTTGCCTTCACTTTTACCAGTGGGAGCTAGATGTTCAAGACCTTTAAGTCTATTCAGGTGTCTCAGAACAGTCACGGAGAATTTGAGTTAGCTGGCAAGCCTGAAATAATAACAAGACGCACACACTCGACTCGCACTCGGGCAATTCAGACAGTGGCAACTCTGTCGTCAACACAAACCATTTCTGGTGGACAGACGGCAGCGAGGAAAAGAGATACAGAATTTCCCCATTTTAGACGGCACAGCACGTCCGACCTCTCTTGTCTCCTCCATTCACATGATGCACACATTACACAGCTAGAGCACACACACTACACAGCTAGAGCACATAATCTACACAGATAGAGCACACACTGTACTCAATGCAAGCAAAAATGTTACTACAACCTGCTAATCTTTTATTTCACTTTCCCCATTCAGACTAAAATTCTAAAAAGTGGTAAACTTTACTTTGTATGACTGACTGACAACCTTTTTAGTATGGACTGAAGTCAAGTCTGACTGATTAAAACACTGACCCTTGCGCGTTGACTCAGAATGAAAACAGGGCATGAAGGCTTCCCAACAAATCTTAACTTTCAATTACGTACTACATGAGGTTACACAGAACAGCTTCTGTCACAACTTGTATGTCAAAGCATGAACCATTATGGTAGGAACCATTCTGTTAGATTGAGAAAAATTATTAGGAAGCAGCGTAAGAAAGCAAATAACACCTGAAAACTTGATTCCTTGACAGAATGTTAGAAAGCGTTGGGTTATCGTTAGGCAGCGGAGTATTAGAGTGTTAGTGTGGCACACACTTCATTCTGACCAATCTGTATATCGATTCGCCAACTTCATTTTTGGTTCTTTTTTCCTGAGCTTAAGAGAAGCACCTCCACATAATAGCTCTCATTTGAAGCCATTTAAAAATATTAATAATAATAATAATAATAAAAATAATAATAATAAAAATAATAATAATAATAATAATAATAATAATAAATAGTATCTGTATAGCGCACATCACCGCTCGACAGTAAACTTTATGCGCTTTACACCATATCTACAAAAAGCAATCAGACATAAAGAGCCACCCAGATTAGGAAAGCAGTCAAGACTAAACAGCAGCACTGTGCCACAATTTGGAATTCCAAGAAAACGTACGTTGTCTGAGCGACTTTTGAAGAAGTTTTCATCAGGAGGAGAGAAGCTTTCATCAGGAGGAAGAATAACACAACAACAACAACAACAACAACAACAACACATCGGTAGCCCAACAGCAGAACAGGCAGAATCCGACATAAACAACAAGACAAAGGAAAAAAGTCACTACTTTATCTGTCCTCTGGGCAGAGTTGAGGTGATCAGATCTACTCCTGTTGTATTTCATCAATACAATTTATGATAGACTGATGGGTAAAAAAAGCAGCAAGATGGGCTGTACCAGAACAGTCAACAGCACACTAATTGTGAGTCTGAACTGAATTTTTTAACATGTGCTGAAACATGTGAGCACATGAAAAAAACCCCAAAAAACAACCCCCCCCAAAAAAACAAAAACAACAACGATTAATTCTTCCCCTGAGCATCTCTTTAACCATCAATCGGAGCTGCAGGAGACGGCGCGGCTATTCCCTGTCCTACACAAACAGCTTCCAACTATCTCCAGTCAGAACAGACAAAACAAACAAGTGTTAGAGGCAGAGAAGTAAGTTTGTCCTCGTGGAGGTGAGAAACTGAACCTCTACTCGTCCTGTCGTGTGGAGATCTCTAGATAGAGAACAAGGTTGGGATTACACCCGGTTTACACTGTCGTACCGCACCTTCAAGTTGCAGGCATGTTGCAACAGAGACGCAATCTGTGTGCACGAGCTATGCATATATTACAATGTCCCTTTCCACTAGCTACCCCTATATTATATATACTAGCTGGGCCCCCTTTCGATGAAAGGAATGATCGGTGCATTAACAACAACATAAAGTCATTGGCCTATTATATTTATACTCTACTGGAATGGAGCAATAAATCTTGAGAGATGCAAAAAATTAGAAGGTCTAGATCTAGACCTATACTCTCAAAACAAAATGCGCCTTGCAAAATAGCACTTCCGCACAGGATTTTCTAAAATTACAGAGACAGAAGCGTCGCCCTACAAAAGCGATCGGCGAAATAAAGAAATTTAGCTTTTTACAGCAAAACTGTCTCCAAACTGAAAAAACGAAAGGCATCATGATCTGGAGAATATTTAAAAGAATCTTTTGGTGAAAACCGCATGTCGATCGATGCAGCCATTAGAAAGCCTTTTGAATAGCAAAATTCGGCCACCACAAATACATTATAGATTCTTTTTTCCCATTTTTTCTTATTCTTGAGAAACTGCTGTTGAAGGATAGGCTCGACAGTGTGAACAGGCTAAGCTTCATGCACGATAATGACCAGCAGAGCAGGACTGGCTGTTAAGTAGGAAGGGGAAGGGAAAGGGAGGGGAGAGGGAGAGAGAGAGAAAGCTCTACATCTCTGTATGTGTGCTGTGCCAGGCATCATGCAGGGAGAAAAGGGAGGAGATTCACCTTCACAGATAGAGAGGGGGGAAAAAACCAACAACTGAACTAAAGGACCACCCGCCCCCAAACCTGCATGTTGAAATGAACCAAAGTGATGTCTATGGGAGTATCCGTACATCCCATGGGTTGACAGCCTATTTCTCAACCGCTACAAAAATTGACCTACCTCAAGCCTTTAAAAAATAGTTTTAAAATACCACCCATGTCTTCCCCTCCGCCCACCCCTGCTCAAAGAAACCCCACTGCTCTGTTGTAACTTCCCAGCCATTCAGTTTGACTCACACACAAAATCCTCAGACATCCGAATCAGGACGTAATGTCTTCAAAGTGGTCCCATCTACCCACCGTAACCCACTACCCACCATACCCACTACCCACTGTAACAATTACCCACTTCCCACTACCCACCATAACCCACTACCCACCATACCCACTACCCACCATAACCCACTACCCACCA